AACAAACTGTTCTATCTTACCAGACATTCTTATAAATACATACGACAACGATTGAATGATTATAAATGAAATATCCTATAATAATCTAAATATCCTCTTGTATTTTCTCCTTATTTTCTCTCTGCATTATCTTCCTAATTTTTTCTTCCCTCTCTCTCTCTCTCCCCCCCTTACAACATGTTGCAATGAACCATACACCATCGAGGAAGGCTAATTAGATGAGCACTGTCAACTGCTCAATATGGCCCATAAGAGAGTCTGGTAGTACTGGACTTTCCTCAATCCAATTCTGAACCTTGAGGACAATATTTGTGTGAAGAAAGGACAGATTTCAAAACCTAAAAAGAAGTGAAAGACGGAACAAAACGCTCAGCGGTTAGAAACAGTTAGGAGGAATAGAAGTAGCCCTTTTGGTAGGATTTTTTCTTTTTAATGATGTAATAGCCGTTATACTAGTGCATTACAATGACAAACTAAGATAAAAGTTGTTACTGCACCCAATGAACTGCACTGCTGTACCACATATTCCTATAAATACCTAAAGCAATGATTGAATCATTATGAATGAAATCTTCTTACCCCAACTGCTTGGAATTGACGCTATAAGTTGAAACGTGGCAATAACTGAAAAATACTACCCACCAAATTCCACCCAAAATAGCCCCTATTAAATCTTAGTTGAACTTGCAAAGAATAAATTCATATATTATTCTGTGACTAAAATAGATATGAATAGGAAAAGAAAGTCAATGGTATTTGGTTTAGTTGTTGTAAAGAAAAAATATATGAAAATTTATAAATTGTAACCAGTTAGTTATTTGACCAGCTAATCATCTATCAAAGATATAATATTTGGATGCAATACCAGCACAGTATCCAAACTACCTATACACAACAGTGCCACATTCAGATCCTACCATTATAGAACTCTGAACAAAATGAAAGAAAACGAGAAAAAGATGACAAAAACCCTAAAATTGATTCCTAGTATAGAAAATAATCAACAGAAGGGGAAAACATAACTGCAATTAGCATAAAATTCATAGATTCCTTCCTCTCGAATGCTCTCAGGTCACTCTCCTTCCAAGCACTCACATAACGAGATTTTTTTTTTGGACACGCAGGATAGTATTATTGATGATATAAAAGCTATACATCACAGTCCCTCAAAAAAAAGTTGCCCGATCAAATTCTGCCAGAAGAGAAACCCCATCAAAGATTTAAGTCAAAACCACACATAAGGCATTCAAATATATACTAGCATACTCAGTGCACGCATGTGCAAATTTTGAAACAGTTATTCGTAAATGTGCAACATCTATACCAGATACGAACAGAAAAAAGAAAGCCAAGAAACCTTAATTAAAATGATATATATTACGGGGAAAAAAAAAAAGATATGCAAAATGCCTAAACGATAACCTTTCACTTAATTGACCAGCCAAGCATAAATCAATGACCTAAAATTCGGATACAATACCAGCAAAGCATCTGCGACGTCGATTCAAGACAATGTCACATGTCTTGCCAGATTAAAATGCTGAATTAAATGAAAAAAGCAAAGCAAGCAACAAAAGAAATATGAAAACCCTAAAAAACCGATTCCTGCTGCAGAAAAACGATCAAGAAAAAAGGAAACGAAAACAAAAGAACATCAATGCATCATTCAAAGACGTAATCAGAACAACTTGAAATCGAAAATCGACGACACTCAAGCCCTAATAGCAGAGTCGCGATAAAGAAGAGATTACCTACGGAGAAAAAGTGCTCCGATTCGGAGCTGTAGGTAGATGGAGAGTGCCTTTGTTCGACGAGGAATCGGCGAGGCCTTGAATCGAGCAGGGATTTATAGCGGTGAAGTAAGGGGGCGAAGACAGAGACGAAATGCGAGTCCGCTTACAAAGGAGCGGATTTTCTGAACAGAGAGTAGATTCTGTTGAACATAATGAGCAGGCTTTATTTATATATGCTCTCCGTGGTAACAGTTCCTGTGTGTTGCATTTAGTTTATGCTAAAACGGGGTGCCAAATATTAATGGTCGTCTAAAAAAAATATCATGATCATTTAATGATAATAATAATAATAACTTAGAGGTTATCATAATTTATTTAATTATGAAATAATAGTGTATCTAGGAGTCATATATGTATAAATGTTAGAGGATACACTTACCATATCCCACACAATTTTTTAAATTATGAAATAATATTATGTTTTAGAGTCATATATGTATAGTATTGAAGGATACTCTTACCATATCCAATCACGTAATACGATTTTTTTAAAAAATCACAAATAAAAAAAAATTATTTAGAACGACGCAATTTGAAGATTCTGGAGATTAATAGCTCGAGCATACTCTTGAATAGATCATATATTCAACTACTTATGATGTTATCGGTATTTGTTATTATTTTCGTGTATTACAATGTAGCATACGTAATAAATTATTAGATACAAAAAATGATCAATAGATCGAAATTTCATATATTGCTTAAACCTATTCATATAGCTTAGCACCGAATAATGAAAATTATTTTTATATGTCTATAATATTTT